TATTAATATTTAATAGTGATTTTATTATCAGTATTCACCAGAAATTAAGTACTGACGAAAAAATTACTGAATTACTGGTAATATATAATCACTAATAATTTTTTAGTATTTATTAGTATGATATTCCTGTAAGGGTGTTATCTGGGATTTTATTTTGTATAATAAAACATATTAATAATATTACATACATATTGCATTGCAATGTTGCTATACAGTTGCGTTGTTATATTGCCGCAAGCGGACATTTTACCGTTGCTGCAATGTTGTAGGAGCATTGCAGCAACATTTTGCAACGTTGTTGCAATGTCACAATATTGCAAAATAATGATGCTGCAATGTTGCTGCAACGCTGCTGTGCTGTATGGGAATAGACTCATTTTTATGCTTATATTAATTGAATAGACTCATTTTTATGCTATAAAATCAAATAATTACCCAAATAGTACAGAGAATTCCAAAAAATTCAGTCGTGTGTCATCAATTCTGAGTTCATTTTTAGATGCAAAAAGAATTCTTTTCACTGAACTGAACTGTAAAGAATTCTTTTTGCATCTGAAAATGAATTCAGAATTGGTGACATACGACTGAATTCTTTTTAATTCTTTTTTAATTCTCTGTGCGATATCTGGGCATCGTATTTCGTACAATTACACATTTATACAATATTAGTTTTTAATAATTTGTTATAAAAAAACGCTTCCTGCATTTATATAGGGTTAAGACTAGGTAACTTGGGATTTCCCCAAATCTGCGGTATTTTTTCTTTTTTTCCGTATTTTTTCGTGTTTTTAATTAAAAATTTTTATATTCTTATTTTATTTTTTAAATTATTTTAAATCAAAAGACTGAGCAAAATTATTATTTTTTAATTTTATTTTTCGTCACCGTGTGTTATTTAGAAATTAGATGCATTAGAAATGCATATCCAGTATTTATATCTAATAGATAAAAAATAGATAAAAAATAATCGATAATGTAATTCTTCTTCAATTATCTCCGGGCTCCTTTACCAGTTCGAAGATTTACTGAGGGCTGGTTGTCTTTAAGGCCCGATCTTCAATAGATGGAGTAAAAAGTAAGAGTAGTGTAGGGACTTTTCCTCCTTTTATCCGTTGAGTGCGTTCATCTAGATACCACTCACTCCGTGTCTAGAGGTGCGATGCGCGGGAAGTGGAAGAAGGAGAGCAGAGCGAGTGATCAGATATGCTATAAGAGATTTTTTGTGCTGTGCCTTATTGAAAGTAAAGTTATTGTTAAATGAAAGACTACTGCGTGTGGTTATTATACCTCATTACTCCGACGACGGTAGTGGGAGTGTAAGGATCCGACTACCCCGACGTGATTCGTCGCCGAGTCGGAGAACACACGACACCGCGGAAAATACATTGCGTGCTTTCCAGTTGCGTATACTGTGTTACACAAAACCAGTTTATTGGTTGCATATTATCTTAGATAAGATATCTTATTAGATAAGATTAGACAAGATATTTTAGATAATATGTGACCAATAAACTGATTTTGTGTACGAATATGTCAAGATGTGTTAAGCAATTGGAAAGCACTCATTGTTATTAAGGTGCGTGGACCGAGCCGTATCTCTCGACACGATAGGGGATGAGTAAATTGCTACACCCTGAGTCGACCAATATTCATCGCTCTACTCTCCCCGCGACGCAACGGGGCTCTCGACACGGAGAGTATACGATCAGGGCTGGTATTCCGTTACCGTGGTTCCGACAGTTGTCGAATCGGTAGGCGTCGTTGCGCAGCTTTTTTATACCGTGGAAAAACTGCGCAACGACACCTATCAATTCGACAACTGTCGATACGTGGGTAACGGAATAGCGGCTCAGTGTTGGGATTCTGTAACTCATTATTGGAGTTAACGACAGTTTCGTTATCATTGCGCAGCTTTTCTACGGTATACAAAAGCTGCGCAACGATAACGAAACTGTCGTTAACTCCAATAACGAGTTACAGAATAGAATTACAGGGCTCTGATTCTTGAAAATATATCGCATACGACATTTAGTGAAAAGCTATAGTTCATGTCACGTATACTACAGCTTTTCACTAAATGTAGTATGCGATATATTTTCGAGAATCAGGACCCAGGAGACTGACCTTTATCACGACAACGACATTGAGGGCGAGTCCATTTACGTCAGCCACGACAACGACATCAAGTACGAACCGATTTTCGTCAACGAGCCACAAAGGTTATCCCCTGACACCAAGGACAGGAGCACCGCAATAGCAGAAATAGTGAATCGTTAAGGAATAGTGAATCGTTACGTGTGTTAACCTCCCGTCTCTTTCTTTCTTTCTTTCTTTTTCTTTCTTCGCCGTGCTCACGCGAATTCGCTGGTCTAGAAGATAAGTGCGAACCTATAGATATCGTCACCTTCGCTTTGCGACATTGTTTTCGATCTCGTCTAAAAGTAATATCACTTGAATTAACTAGGACGAATATCGTTAAATTTTATATACGAGGTGACATATGTAATGATGGCGGAAGAATCCAGTCAAATCAACGCGTACAGGGTGCCGAAAATTCCTCCGTTCTGGGCAAACGATCCAGAAATATGGTTTGCGACGGTAGAAGCATCTTTTCACATAGCAAAAATTTTAGACGATACTACTAAATTTCACGTTATCCTGGAGAGCGCAATTCTCCCGCACATCAAAGATTTAATTATGAGTCCACCTCCAAACGGCAGATACGACGCCCTGAAGGAATGCGTTTTGAAAGTATTTTCGGTATCACAAAGTGCCAAGCTACGTTAATTATTAAAGGGACAGATAATTAGGAGATAAAAGACCGTTCCACTTTTTACAGGAACTAAAAAATTTTGCTGGAGATCAGGGCCCATATTCTGAACCCTCTTTTATCTATAAAAGTGCCTCTAAAAGAGGCTTAGGAGCCACCTGATTGGCTGAGAAGCTACATTTAAGATATTTTTATCGATAAAAGAGGATTCAGAATATGGACCCAGATCTCTAATAGTATCATTAAGACGTTGTTTGTTGAACAGCTACCGGAAAATTACCGCATTATTTTAGCGACGATTGATGAATCCGATCTTGATAAATTCGCGATTATAGCTGACAAAATCGTGGATTCAATGTCGTTGAATAGCACATTAGCCCCGATAGTTAAGCAAAAATCTGAAAGTCTAGCACCAGTTCACACTCCGCAAGTAAATTCTTTTGCGGAAACGAACGCTAACGCAGCCCTAGAACAACTCGTAAAAGGCATGAATACTTTACTACGCGAAAAAGAGGCACGCGGTCGGCGCAGATCGTTCTAACCGGCCGACGAGACAACGTAGTCAGTCTCGTAGGGCAGGCGAAAAATGTTTTTTCCACCGCAGATTTGGTAGTAAAACACACAAATGTTAACAGCCTTGTTCGTGGACGGATAAAAAATCCGGTACGGGAAAATAAAGGTGCCTCCCCGACTGGAGACGGTTGTCGGAGGCACAGCTACAGAGAATCGTCTCCATACATTTGATAAAATCACCGGTTGCAAATACCTCGTCGATACCGGCGCTGAAATATCAATTATTCCCGTTTCCGCTACCGATAGAAAAACGCAGACAGAATTAAAATTATATTTAGCAAACAACTCGCGAATCAATACTTATGGTGAACTTAACACGACACTGGACTTTGGGCAACCTATTGTTTGGAATTTTTGCGTCGCAGACATTGTGTTCGCTATAATAGGCGCTGACCTATTGAAACATTATTGTCTGTCTGTCAACCTTCAAGGTCGTACTCTGACCGATGAGGTCACCTCATTCTCGATGGGCGTTGAGATGACAGCGGTCCCAGTTTTAAAGATTCCCGTTATCGATCGCTCATCCAAGTTCTCGCACATTTTCAGCGAATTCCTCGAAGTATCAGGCATTGCGCAAAACTTATTATTCACACTGCGGACCGTTAGTCACCACATCGTCACAACCGGTCTTCCGGTTGCCGAACGTCCGCGTCGATTGCCTCCAGACAAATTAAATGCCGCAAAAAGGGAATTCAAACGCATGAGAGAATTGGAATGGTGCAGACCATGCAGTAGCCCGTGGGCCAGTCCTATCCACATGGTCCAAAAGAAAACAGGCGAATGGAAGATCTGTGGTGACTATCGTCGTCTTAATGCAGTTACTATCCTCGATAAATATTCGGTACTATACTTACATGATTTCTCAGCAAATTTACACGGTAAAAATATTTTCTCGTAGATTTATCCAAAGCATATAACCAAATTCCCATAACCAGCGAGGATGTACCAAAGACGGCCGTGATTATTCCATTTGGATTATTTGAGTTTACGGTAATGACGTTTGGACTCTATAACGCGGCGCAAACCTTTCAGAGGTATTTACACTAAGCTCTCAAGGATTTAGATCTTGTTTTCTCTTATATTCGACGACATATTATCATCAATACATCTGCTTCGGTGACAGAACATAAACAGCACTTGCGTACAGTTTTAGCCAAACTTAAAGAATTTGGATTAACGTTAAATTCAAACAAATACGTTATCGGTGTACCGGAACTAATCTTTTTAGGACATCATATCAGCAACTAAGGCTGTAAGCCTAACGCAAGTAAGGTCGACGCGATTTTTAAATTCCTGAAACCACGGGCAGTCGCTGAACTACGACGTTTCCTTGGCATGCTTAACTTTTATCGCGGATATCTGCGCAATGCAGCAACTATACAGACACCTTTATACGTGTTCCTCAAAGATGATAAAACAAAAATGATCCCACAAAAATGATAAACGTGCAATCGAATGGAACACGGACGCTGAAGCCGCATTCGAAAAGCTAAACTCAGTTTAGCTGCGCTATTAGCTCATCCTTCTTCCGTCGCTAAAACGCTTTTAGTAACCGACGCTTCCAATTTCGTAATGGGGGCAGTCTTAGAATAATACTTCTCAGAAACGTGGAGACCGCTAGCATTCTTCTCAAGAAAATTCACGCCCGCTCAAAAAAAATATAGCGCGTACGATTGCAAATTAACGGCAATGTACGAAGCCGTTAAATATTTCCGTCACTTCCTTGAAGGACAAGCATACATACACAGTTCGAAATTTATATTGACCACAAACCGTTAATACACGCGTTCAACCAACGCGCAGATAAAGCATCGTCAAGGCAACTTCGTTAGCTCTCATTCATTTCTCAATTTACCACGCGGATTGTACACATAACGGGTCGCAAAAACATAATCGCAGATAGCTTATCAAGAATAGAGTCGCTACGTTTACCATGCGATATTGAATTATTAGAACTAGTTAATATATAGAAAGATGATTTTTAACTTCCTCAATTACTAAATTCAGCAACCACTTCGTTGAAGTTGAAAAAGCTTATACTAGGTTCGAAGCATTCGAAAATTTTTTGTGAGATCTCGGGCGAGTCATTCAGATCATACATACAGTTGTGTCGCGACGCAAGGTATTTGATATATTTCATTTATCTGCCCATTCCAGCGCAAGAATTACGGATCGAACAATACGGCAAAAATATGTCTGGCCACACATGCATAGAGATATAACCAAGTGGGCGAAAAACTGCATAGTGTGCCAACTGTCTAAGACGTCGCGCCATGTAAAACTCTTACCTATCGACTTCACAGCACCTGACGGACGCTTCGATCACGTTCATATGGATTTAATCGGCCCTCTACCACCATATAATGGTTTTTGATACCGTCTAACAATTGTAAACCGTTTTTCTAGGTGGCCTGAAACTCCCAATTTCGGACGTGTCCGCCAAAACAGTCACACGCGCGTTTTACGATCACTGGGTAGCGCGATACAGAGCTCCCAAGATATTAACTACCGATCAAGGTAAACAATTCGAAAGCTAGATATTCGACGCGCTTCTAAAATTGACCGGTTGTAAAAGAATACGCACGACGGCGTATCACCCCGCAACAAACGGGTTAGTCAAATGCTGGCATCGTACATTAAAAGCAGCGTTAACATGCAATAACTCCCCTAACTAGGTTAATATGATTTCCATAGTCCTATTAGGATTACGTACTCAAGTTAGGCTTGGTATTGGCGCGTCACCAGCCGAATTTTTATTTGGGACCATGTTAAGAGTTCCCAGCGAATTTGTAACAAATAACGATTTTATCCCAGACCCGCAAATTTTTATGGAAGACTTCCGTACATTCAAGTGTGAATGTAAACCAGTACCTGTTACCCATAAGTACAAAAAACGCGCGTTCTACTTTAAGGATTTGGCTACGCGTACATATGTATATGTACACATATTTGCACGCCAAGAAACATATACATTTTAGTCCCGACACCAAGCGTTACTAATATATATTAATATAAATTATAACGTTAAGTATTATTCTTTTATATGCAAAAACGTACAGTATTATTAATATTATTATTAATAATAATATCAAATAATATAAAAAATGTCATTGATTGAAATCGATTTAGTACATGGAACATGGCCAGTTATTAGAGGATGAAGAGTCCTCAAAGTTAACTTCAGATGCTGTTATTAT